ATATATATCTTTACTTATTGTTTACCATGATCGTATGTTAATTTTATAATAAAAATATAATTAAAAATGGGCCACTGATTAATAGTTAGGAAATTACTGGTAATCTTAAGAAGAACAATTTCAGTATAAAAGCTAGCCAGAGTGTACTGAATAGCACAGGGATAAATGGAATTGAAAAATTAGATACTGAATATAGATCAGTTATTCAAGAAATTTCGTTGTGAAAGGAAAAGGGGAAATGTGTACCTTTTTAGTTCACATTGTAATTACTGCCTGGAATACTGACATATTTACAAAGGACCTTCAAAAATAATTGCTAATAACAGTAATTTCAGATGATATGGAGAATACTAATACCATCTAACAAAGTCTTTTAAGTTGGTTTCCTGGAAGGTTATCCTCTTAAATGCAATAAAATAGGTTGATGCCCACATTAACTGCAGTGAAGGTACACTGCCCAATTAAGGGCAATTAAAAATATAGTGGATTGAATATGAACAGGAAAGCCTCATCGTATTTCATCTAGGGCTTATTGCTGGAAATCAGAATAAAAGATTCAACATTTAAATTTAACATTTAAATGACATAATTGTTTTACTTAAACTCTGTCCATTGATTGGTGTTATTCCATTAAAACCTTTTGATCTGTCCATGGTTAAATGTGAAGAATAAGACAATATAGTTTTTCAAAAGCTTAAACTTATTCAACTTAAAGCATTATCTGAGATGATAATATTTCTACTTCAATACTGATATATTTCTGTATCAATACAAAGTATTTTTAATTATTTTTTACAAAATAATAATAGTTGATGAGATCTAAAAAATAAAAGATTGACAACATTTCCAAAGATTTTATGGAAATTTAATTGGTCGCTGGGAAACAGTTTTAGGGAATTTTAGTCATGTATATAAAATTAAAGAAATACATGTAAAGAAAACTTTGATATTTGTAATTATCTGTAGACTTTAAACAAATACAGCTAACATATCCTGACTATCAAAAGTTACTGATTTGTAATTTACAATGAAATGAGATCTACCTGTGTATCTTAGTGTTTTTAGAATGTTAATGTACATTGTGAGTAACTGGATATAGTTTCTGACTGAACATAAACCTACTCTTTAAACCTACAAAAAACAGAATATGTACCATAAATCATAAATTTCAAGGTACGCTGATTATGTAAAGATTTTAATATGCATAATTCCTAATCTGTTTTAAAATGGTTAACTACAGATTTACCTGACCTTAGGCTACCATTCAAAACATAATTTCAGGGACACTGGGGAAATGGTTGAGATGATTTATTTTCAAATAAAAAGTTGTATGAAGTAAGAAAATTTGAAGTTAGCACTACTTCATACTGTGAGACTGAAAAAAATTAAGGAAAAAGGTATGTCTTAGGAATTGAAGGCAATTAAGTGTGTGAATGACAAAATGCTGTTAACAATACATAAAGATGGGATCAGTTAAAATTACAAGTTCCATTCCATTAAAGCTGCCTTAGGAAATTCTGCTACAGTGTTCAAGTCCCTTAAATTAACAAGTGACTTCTTCGTATGATATGTCCTATATTAACATTTTGCTAGCTATCATAAGGACTGATTGATTTTGTAGCTTTATTTAAAATTTAACAATAAAGATCATCGAAAATAAACAAATGTAATTATGCACCGTGAAAAGCTGTCCTGAATACTTCAGAAGAACAACACATGAAAATTAATTCCACTGTAACTATTCTATGTGCCTAGAGGTCTCAGATTACAAAGTCACAGATGATCTCAACTCAAGCAGGATTATCACAAAGCTAAATGAGTAAAATTGATTACTTGACTGCCTCTCCCCCTTGCCAATAACTTTACCTATTACCTGTGAAAGGATTTTAATAGTATGGCCTCCAGGAACTAACGAAGATCAGTTATTAAATAAAAGTGGTTTGCCCTCAATAGTAACCATGATTCCCAAGTGAATGACTTTTTGACCCCAACTATGGGTATGAGAGGCAATCTAAAAAAGTTCATTTGGCTCAATCTACTTTTGTCTTAAACCATTAACAGCATGACTAATAGATAATTATTTAGTTGCAAAAAAAGTGTTCTTGTTTTGTTTTTTTTCATGCTTTTGAAATCATGCAAGATCATTTTACTTACTTCTGCACTTTGTCATTGGCTGCTTGGGAGGCCTCCATGGCATGCTGAAGCTCTAATTCCATGTTTGCTCGATCTGTCAGAGCTTGCTGCAGTTGGGTAGACAGTTCCTCATTCTGTTGTTGAGTGATGGAAACAATGTTCTCTCTATTTTTTAAAGCTTCTTCATAAGTACTAAGGGTATGGTTAAACTGATCCTTCAGATTTTCTTCTTGGGATAAAGATTTGTGTAAACTGAGAAAAACATAAAAATAAATAATTGAAACATAAATATGTAGTCTTCCTGACCAATAATATATTTAACAAAACTCTCCATAAGAAATACCCATTTCTAAAAATCAATTAAGACATACTTAAATGGGTAAATAAAAATAATTTTTATATCACAATATTATTCTTGATAATTATTCTATTTCTCTGCTTCTAGGCTGAAAGGTACCCAAACGATTACTGATGTTACCAAAGCATACAAGAAGATGCTGCAAGATGTTAATATAATTACATCAGTATAAATATTACATTCAATTTTCTTTAAAAGACATAGCTGAGAATTGGAAAATAAAGCATCTCTAGGTAAATAAAAGAATATAATAAGCTGACTGCAAAGAAGTGAGAAGTAAGAGAATGGGCATCCGTTTAGTAGATCCAGGGTTTCTTCAGCTGAGCACTTAATGAGAATGAATGAGGGCTGTACGAATAACCGATCACTCCATACACAGATATAAATGAAGTTAAAATCACTAGTCTGACTGCAAAGAAATAAAATGTATTCAGATCTTTTCTTTTTGTTAATGAATCTCATGCCAAATATACCCACTCATTAAGTCATACAGAGAAATAGCATATAAATTAAGATTAAATGAATGCAGAAGAAAATGCAGACAAATAGAACCCTAAAATGCTAAAGGTCAAATCTTTGATATGTCATTACACCTACCACCTGAGGTTATTTTGAAATGGCACCAAGCACCTCACTCAATTAAATAAAGACATTTTGAAAATATAAATATTTAATAAGGGAAATTTAAAATCCACACAGGAGATGTTCTTTTTTTATTAAATAAAATCATTTCAGTATATGCATACAAAAGAAATGTCGATGGGAGACTTGGAAGTAAAACAACCTAACTATATAATACAGATTAATGATGTGAAAGAAAGTAATATAATTCTGAAAGCTTCAAAAAGCTAGTCAGGGAACTTTAGCACTGGCCGAATATCTAGTCTGATACTTTATTTAAAACTGTTTAAACCAAAGTAATTATACATTTCTTCTTTTTGTTTAAGTAACCTATAGATCTCTCCAGTGTGCTCACTTTGTAGGTGTCACACAGAAATAGGAAGGACATGAAACGGGGACAGTCAGCATACCAAAAGAAATCATTTCAAGATTCAAATTAGTTCTTAAGAAGAAAGACTGCTACTAAACTGTGGTCAACTGATTACTACATAAAAATAAGAATGGTGTTTAGTGCCGTATTTGTAGAGTGCAAAGAAGTATCCTTCTTTATGGTTTTCACCTTGTTGTTTATCTAACCCTTCTTTCATTTTTATTTTTATTTTTTTTTAAGATTTTATTTATTTATTTGAGAGAGAGAGAGAATGAGAGATAGCACGAGAGGGAAGAGGGTCAGAGGGAGAAGCAGACTCCCCGCTGAGCAGGAAGCCCGATGTGGGACTCGATCCCGGGACTCCAGGATCATGACCTGAGCTGAAGGCAGTCGCTTAACCAACTGAGCCACCCAGGCGCCCCTCATTTTTATTTTTTTTAAAGATTTTATTTATTTATTTGACAGAGAGAGAGAGAGAGATCACCAAGTAGGCAGACAAGCAGGCAGGCAGAGGGAGAGGGAGAAGCGGGCTCCCTGCTGTGGGGCTTGATCCCAGGATCCTGGGATCATGACCTGAGCTGAAGGCAGACGCTTAACCGACTGAGCCACCCAGGCGACCCCCTTCTTTCATTTTTAGTTTTTTCTACCAGTCCATATGCCTAAAGGCTCCCACCTCCTGCCCATTTTCCTGTTCTATGTTCTTTCACACTTTCTGATTCCTCTTATTCCATGTTCGTTTCCTTCAAACCATTCTCTTTGGCTACTTGAAAGATCCAAGAAAGAAAGAAATGAAAAACAAAACAAAAAACCTTTAAAAAGACAAGTCTCTTTATGTTCTTTACACTTAAAAGATTATTACTTACATTTTAATTGTTAATTATATTTTAAATTACACAGAGTGCACAAATCCAAAGTATTCAGCTTGACAAAATGTAAAGAAAATATGTAATAAACCCAGAAGATTCCCCTCTGTTCCCTTCCAGTTAATTCCCCTTTCCCAAAGTAATCATTTATTCAACCCCTATTAAGATTAGTATTGTCTGGGGGCGCCTGGGTGGCTCAGTCATTAAGCGTCTGACTTCGGCTCAGGTCATGATCCCAGCCTCCTGGGATCAAGTCCCGCATCGGGCTCTCCGCTCTGCGGAAAGCCTGCTTCTCCCTCTCCCACTCCCCCTGCTTGTGTTCCCTCTCTCGCTGTGTCTCTCTTTGTCAAATAAGTAAATATAATCTTTAAAAAAAAAAAAAAAGATTAGTATTGTCTGTTTTTGAACTTTTGGTCTGGCTTATTTTACTTAATAAGGATTATGAGATTCATCCTACTGTTGCATGTAGTTCACTGTTTTTTATCTGTTATATAAATATACCACAATTTATTTAATCATTCCACTATTGTTGCTATTAATATTCTTGTACATTATCTTTTGATGGACCTAAGTACTCATTCCCCCCCCCCTTTATTGAGATATAGTTGACATAAGTACTCCTTTCTGAAGTAAGAATTGCTCTATAGGGTGTATGTATGTTCAGATTAAGTAGATGCTGCACAGAATTTCCCAAAGTGGTCCTACCAATTTACACTCTCACCAGCAATATATGGGAGTTGCAATTGCTCTACATTCTCCTTTAGAGTATTCTCCCTACTGGTAAACTATACCCATTCTAACAGAGGTGCAGTGCAATTTCATTCTCTTAATATTGCCTTTTGATGAATTTAAGTTCTTAATTTGAATGAAGTCCAATTAATCATTGCTTTTTTAATGGCAGTGTTTTTTTTGTGTGTCCTATTGAAAAAATATCTTAGCCTTTATATTTTATCCTTATGTGTATGGTCTCATTTAAAGTTCACAGTGGGCAGCTTCGTTTGGGAATTCTGCATTTGTCTATGATGTCCATAACACTATGCAGTATACTCTAGCCAATTAACTATTAAGAATCAATGATTCAGTTTTTAAAATATCATCTTTATTAAAACCATGGTATCCCAATTTAATTCTCTAATCATTCATCACTTCCTAGTCTTCGATCCTTAAATTTTTTTTTCAAATTTTTATCTCATTTTTCTCTCAGTTGGACCTGTGACTGGGATCCTTAACTCTCAAGCTCAAAAAGATACTCCTTGTTCGGGCGCCTGGGTGGCTAAGTTGGTTAAACGACTGCCTTCGGCTCGGGTCATGATCCCGGAGTCCTGGGATCGGGTCCCACATCGGGCTTCCTGCTCGGCGAGGAGCCTGCTTCTCCCTCTGACCCTCTCCCCTCTCATGTACTCTCTCTCTCTCATTCTCGCTCTCTCAAAAAAAAAAAAAAAAAAGAGGGGGGCGCCTGGGTGGCTCAGTTGGTTAAGCGACTGCCTTCGGCTCAGGTCATGATCCTGGAGTTCCGGGATCGAGTCCCGCATCGGGCTCCCTGCTCGGCGGGGAGTCTGCTTCTCCCTCTGACCCTCCCCCCTCTCATGTGCTCTCTCTCTCACTCTCTCTCTCAAATAAATAAATAAAATCTTAAAAAAAAAAAAAGATATTGTTCAAAATGCCTTGGAAACCTTTAAATCTCCATCAAGACCTTCTCAAACAGAAGCAGCAGCTGGAATAATGTTTTAAAACAATAAATTAGATAATGTCACTTAAAATCCTGCAGTGGCATCTCACTGCACTCAGAATAAATCTCTAAGAATAATAACAACAAATTGCCTATTTTAACTCACTAAACCTCACAACAACCTATGAGAGAAGTCCTATCAATATTAGTTTTTTTACAGATGACGAAATTGAAGCAAACAGAGGGAAGTAATTTAATTAATCCCACATATCTAACAGAACCAGAATCTCAACCTACAGTCTTTCTCCCTGAGCTGAAACGTGAAACACTCCTCCCAGGGGGCCATGAGCCATGGAGCCCTGTATCATCTGTTCTCTCTGCCTCCTCATCTTCTAGCTAGACATTGTTTCTCAAGTACATCAAGCTTTTTCCTGCTTGAGGTATTTGTTTGTAATGTCCTTCTCCCCTCTCCCTGACAAACTTCCACTTATTCATTTGGTCTCAGCATGAATAAAAGAAAGGTGTACTCAGATACACCTTTTATGACTCTTCAATCTAAATTTTGGTGTTCCTTCTTTGTTATTCTGTCTCAATGACCCTACTATTTTTCTTCTTAGAACTTATAATAATTTGTAGTTTTTTTTTCAGTTTCATCTTGTGATCTACTTCCCAATTCCACCATATTAACACTCTATTTACAAAGGGCAATTTTTAAAAATGGAGATACAATTAATTTTTTATTGTTATGTTAATCACCATACATTACATCATTAGTTCTTGATGTAGTAGTGTTCCATGATTCATTGTTTGTGCATAACACCCAGTGCTCCACGCAGAATGTGCCCTCTTTAATACCCATCACCAGGCTAACCCATCCCCCCACCACCCTCCCCTCTAGAACCCTCAGTTTGTTTCTCAGAGTCCATAGTCTCTCAGGTTCGTCTCCCCCTCCAATTTCCCCCCTTCATTTTTCCTCTTCTTTTTTTTTTTTTTAACATATATTGTATTACTTGTTTCAGAGGTACAGATCTGTGATTCAACAGTCTTGCACAATTCACAGCGCTCACAATAAAAAATTAATTGAAAAAAAGTATGTTACATAATATTTAAATATAAATATGGCTTTCGAATGTATAATACTGAGGGATTAGCTATAACTTAGTTTAGATATATAAAAAATAATGATTGGGATATTTCTAGTAATTATTCAGCAAACAAAAATTGCCCAATCTAAATATATGAAAAGTACTTGTACATCTTAAGACTTTGAACTTTAATAATTCAGTTTGCAAACATGAGAGAGGACCTATAAGTGACTGATGGAGTTTCTTCCTTGACATGTACTGAGACCTGAACTCCACTACCCATAGG